TAAATATCCACATGCAGTGCAAAGAGCCCTGCCCAACTCAAGAGACAGTTGCCAATCACCAACCCCCAGCCTTCTTTCTCTCCAATAGCAAAGAAATGAGCCTAAAAGCCAATCAGGTGAGCTAGCCACTTTCAGTCCTGAGAGATACTGCACAGGTCAGCTGACTAACTAGGAATCCAACCATCCCCAGCTCACAAGAAAGTCTTTAGCTAAGCAGACTGACTGAAGGCTCCCAGACCTGTCAGAGGGGGAGGAGTGCCAACCCTTGCTGCTCATCCTGGCACCTATATCCAAAGGCAGGTCAAGGAGCAAGCTGGTTATCTCACAAGCCAGCTCAGCTCATGGAAAATAATTCTTCTGACCTCCACCAAGAAACCCGGTTGCTAAACCAGATGAATCTGATCACTCCTCCAGTACACTTTGACCACGTGTACTGATTGAAGGCTCCCAGAACATTTCCCTGCGTGGAGAAGAAGGGTCTCATCCCAGTGTCTCCAGCTCAAGGAGCAGGGAATAAGCAGAAGTAGGCTGGTGCTCCATTTCTAGGTCTCTATCCCAAAGCAAGCTGGGTATATAGGTGGGCTGGCCAACTAGCCAAAACCTTTAGCCTATAGCCCAACCAAGCAGCATTTGCAGACACCCAGGTGACAGGAGCTTTTTGCCCCTCACTCCCCAAACAAAATTTTAACCTGGAGGTCTATATGGAAAAGAGAGGGGGCAAGCTCAATGTGGATAAGCCAGGAGCAATCATTGAATCCTCTGAACAAGGGAAAGCACAGGCTCCAAAAGTGGCAGAGTGCTTTTTAACCTACTAGCAGCACACAGAGAATCCATAACCAACCCACAATGGTGACCTCACACACCTAGAGCTGCCCCACCTCACTCCAGCAACTTCCCTAATTCGGTCCCTCCCCTCCAAGTTACACCTGGGCAATCCAGGACCCTGAGGGGACTTGTGAGTAAAGATAACAAAACTGAAGACAAAAACCTGAGGACCAGAGATTAGAGAGGAGTGTCCAGTGTATTAACAAAACACAGAAGACCAGGAAGAAATTTAGACTTCAATTCTTTTTCTTTTTTGTTACAGTTTTAATTTTTCCATCCTTCTGATATTGTCAATTTTCTTCACACTTTTTAAATTATCTCTTTTCTTTCTTCTTCTCCTTTTTTCTTACTTTTCCTATTTCTTTTTTTTAACTAACCATCCAGCTAGTAGTTTATTACTCCTCTTTCTTTCATTATTCTCACCATTATATCCTTCCACCATCCCTTACATAGCAACCTTCCCCACAACAACTGAACTACATGAATAAAACAAGTTTTATTTTTCTAACCTCATTCTGTTTATAAATAATGCTACCAAAGGTAATAATACTTCATGTAAATATCTGGTGTGGTATTGAACTGGTAAATTTGCTATTGCTAAATTATACCTCTAGGCCAGTGTTCAAAAATGAAACAATAACTTAGTCAATAACCAAACCTGACAGAACACAGAAATTAATCCAAGGGAAAGATGTCAGGTGACTAAAACTCCCTCCAAATAATTAACTACGTATAAGCAAAATAAGAAATATGAAAAGGCAAGAGAATATGATTCCTCAAAAGGTCAACAATCACACAGCAAAAGATCTGTGGATAGTGAAGGGGATGAAACCTCAATTTCTGATAAGAACAACCAAGGAGCTAAAGAAGACATGCAAAAACAAATCAATGTCATCAAAGGAATATGTATAAAAAGCTAAATGAATTCAAATGAATTGCAAAGAAGCAAGTAACTGAACACAAAAAGGATAGAAACAAACATCTGAATGAATTCAAGGAGGAAACAAAAGACAAATTAAATAAAGAAGACAAAACAAGATATGAAGGGAGAATTTAATGAAGCTATGGGAAGTCTCAAAAAATAGAAACTATGGAAATAAAAAGTTCCTTAACTCAAATAAAAAATACAGTTGGGGGGAGGGGGGAGAGGACGGGGGAGGGGGGCATGGTGGAGAAATGACCCAAACAATGTATGCACATGTAAATAAATGAATAATAATAATAATAAAAATACAGTTGAAAGCCACCCCAGCTAACCGGAACAAATGAAAGACAGAATTTTAGGACTTGAAGATAAAATGGATACAAATATTAATACAGAGAAAAAGTATGAAGAAATACAAATGGAATAAGCAAGAACTCTGCAACTCCATTAAAAGACCAAGAGGATATAACTCACCAAAATAAACCTATAACCAGAAGTGAAACTGAAGCAGTAATAAATAGTCTCCCAACAAAGAAAAGCCCAGGACCTTAAAAGAACTAACACCAACACTCTGCAAACTTTTTCATGAAATAGAAAGGGAAGAAAAAAAAAAAAAGTACAACTGAAAAAAAAAAAAGAAATGGAAGGAATAAGGAATACTATCAAACTTATTCTACAAAGTCAACTCAAATTTATATCAAAACTAGACAAGGACGTAAAAAAAATAGAATTATAGGTAAATATTATTAGTGAACATAGATGTGAAAATTCTCAAAAAAATGCTGGCAAACTGAATTCAACCACACATCAAAAAGATCATATACTATGATCAAGTTGGTTTTACTCCAGGAATACAGGGATGGTTCAACATACACAAATCAATAAATGTAATACAGCATGTAACAGAAGCAAGGACAAAAAACAAATGATCATCTCAATAAATGCAGAAAGGCCTTTGACAAAATTCGACATCCTTTTATGATAAACACTCTGAGGAGACTAAGAATAGAAGGAATGTGTCTCCATTAATAAAGGCTATACATAACAAACTTACAGCCAACATCATATTAAACAGGGAAAAACTGAAATCATTTCTTCTAAAGTCAGGAACAAGACAAGGGTGAACATTCTGCCCACTCTTATTCAATATAGTTTTAGAATTCCTAGCCAGAGCAATAAAATGGGAGGAAGAAATAAAAGGAATTCATGTAGGGATGGAAGAAATCATATTATTTCTATTTGCTGATGATATGATCTTATACCTAAAAGATCCTAAAAATCCACAGAAGAACTGTAGACATCATAAACAGTTTCAGCAAGGCACAGGATACAAATCAATATACAAATTCAGTAGCTTTTCTAATACCAGTAATGAACAGAATGAGAAAGAATTTAGAAAAATAATGTAATTTAGAAGTCTCAAAAAATAAAATACTTAGGAATAAATGTAGCAAAGAAGGTGAAAGATGTCTACAATGAAAACTATAAATCACTGAAGAAAGAAATTGAAGAATACACCAGAAGATGGAAAGATGGATTGGCAGAATTAATAATGAGGAATGGCTACACTGCCAAAAGCAATCTACATGTTCAAAGCAAACCCATCAAAATTCTAATGACATTCCTCTCAGAGATAGAAAAATCAACCCTACAGTTCACAAGGAAACAAAAAAGACTACAAAAACCTATGCAATACTGAGCAAAAAGAGGTATCCCAATACCTGACTTCAAACTGTACTACAGAGCCATAGCAATAAAAACAGCATGGCACAGGCACAAAAGCAGACACAAAGACCAACGGAACAGATTAGAACAGACTTAAATTCAGGCAGCTACAGCCATCTGATTTTTTGGCAAAGGAATCCAAAACATACATTGGAAAAAAGATAGTCTCTTCAACAAATGTTGCTTGGAAAACCGGATATCTGCAAGTAGAAGACTGAAACTGGATCCCTGTCTTCCACTCTGTGCTAATATCAGTTCAAAATGGATCAAAGGCCTTAATGTAAGGCCTGAAACTCTGAAACTACTATTGGAAAGAAAAGGGAATACACTGGAACATATGGTCATAGGCAGTAAGTTCCTGAGTAGAACCCTAATAGTTCAGCAATTAAGAGAAAGGATTGACAAATGGGACTGTGTGAAACTAAAAAGTTTCTGCATAGCAAAGGAAACAGTCACCACACTGAAGGAACATCTGACAAGGGATTAATAACTAAAATTTATAGAGCTTAAAAAGCTCAACTCTCACAGAATCAATGACCCAATGAAGAAAGAGGCAAATGAACTGAACATAAATAGGAAGAAATACAAATGGTCAACAAATGTATGAAGACGTCCTCAACATCTCTGGCCATAAAAGATATGCAAATCAAAACCACTTTAAGATTTCACCTCACTTACATCAGAATGACTATCATCAAGAACACAAACAACAAATGTTGGCAAGGATATGGGGAAAAAAGAACCCTTATACATTGTCGGCTGGAATGTAAATTAGTACAACCACTATGGAAAGCAGTATTGAGGTTCCTCAAAACACTAAAAATAGAACTGCCATAAGATTTGGTACTAATCCTGGGCATATATCCAAAGGAATGTAAGTCAGGATACAATAAAGCACTTGTACACCCATGTTTATTGCAGAGTTATTCACAACAGCCAAGCTATGGAAACTGCCCAGATGAATGGATTAAGGGAAAAGAAAAAATATGTGTGTGTGTGTGTGTGTGTGTGTGTGTGTGTGTATGAAATAGTATTCAATGTAAAGAAGAATGAAATTATGTCATTTACAGGTAAATGGATGGAACTGGAGATCACCACCTTAAGCAAAATAAGCCAGGTTCAGAACAAATATCACATTTTCTCTCATATATACAAGATGGGTCCAAAAGATAAATGTCTACGCAAATATAAGCATGATCATACATAGACACACACATATATAAATACACATATATGGTACTAGAGGAAGGGGAAGGGCAAGCAGAGAGGGTAAAGGAGGGTAAATATTATTGATGTAACTGATATATATAATGCATGAATATAGAACATTGAAACCTGTGAAAATCATTTTAAGTAGGAGGGAGGGAGATGAGGGAGAATGATGGAGGGAATAAACTTAACCCAGGTACATTGTAAGCATATACAGATATGTCACAATGAAAACTCCTGGATAACTAACATATACTAATAAAATGTTTTAAAATATGATCAGAAATAAATGTAAATAAGAAGATAATTCTTATACCTCAGGAGAACCATATATCCAGGTATGGCTGCTAAAGAGTAGATGAAACTGCTCACTGTGGACAAGATTAGAAAGTACTGGAGCATCATGGCACAGTCATGGCCTTTGTCACACAGCCCAAGGACTGCAGAGGAGTTACCTGATGTTTGAATGCAGCTACAATTTTGGAACACCTGTCAAAAAATAATAGATGATCCTATTTAAGGAAGAAAAATTTTGAAGCCAAGTCTTAAATATTTTTTTACATAGCCAGTTGGACCAAAATGGAGACTTCTGGGGCTGGGGATATAGCTCAGCAACAGAGCACTTGCCTCACATATACAAGGCCTTGGGTTTGAACCCCAGCTCATATCAACAACAGTAGTAATTAACAATAATAATATAATAAAGATTGGAGACTGCTCCATCTCTTTATTTGCATCTCCTTTATGATGTCTCTCAGCAATATAATATAAAACATGGGAGAGTAGTTTTTAAAAACTAGTATTTTTTTCTAAATACATGTGGTAAACTTGAAATAGTTCATTTATCCTAAATGCACACTTAAAAATGAATCAGTTTTTACAACACTAAGTACGAAAAATAAAATCTATTTCAGAGTACTCAGTTGACATATTTAGAGCTTATGAATGAAGTTTTATTCCTTAAAAATATAGTTTCTTTCAAAAACGGAGTTAAGTCAGCCCTTTTTAAATTTATTTTATCTTTCCAGGTCTTATTAAGATTCAAAACTTGTATTTTACTTTGTTCATCAACAACTTTGGGAGAATTGTAAAGCTTTTAAGAAAGTACACTTAACTCTGTCTTATTAAAAAACTGTCATGATGTGAAAAACACAGAAACATATACACTAAAAAAAGAAAAAGCACAGCAAAGCAATCATTGGATAATTGAGATAAAAAATTACCAACTTTATCTCAATGATAAAAATTTTTCTGTTGAGAATATTTTAACCCAATTTATTTGAATAATAATCTAAACTGCTGAAGTTACAAATCAGTGCTCAGACACTGAATGCTCATACATGCATGAAGAAAGTAACTTAAGCTGTTCACAACACATTAATCTGGCTTTAAGGAAACACTAAATCTTACTTTCAGCAGATGTGGGCCCCACTCATAGCTAGAAGTGCTAATGTAGAGCACAAAAAGTTCTCTCGAAAAGGCCAAATGGATGTGTTACCATGTTTACGCCAGTCCCAGCAGATGTCTCGCAACCAGCAAGACAGGTGGACATGTATGATAAACCATTGTCTCCACACACGGGATCCCATATTTTAGTTGGACAGTTGCAATGTGTATTGCAGTCAGCAAGGATCTTATTTCCCACGTATAAGCCTTGTTGGGTTCTGAAATGATTTAAAATAATTCCATGGATACTGAAAGACTATTCAAGTATTTTAAATCTCTCTTCTTTTTATCTCAATCCCCAACTACATTTCTTCTCCTCTCCCAAAACAGGACATTTTCTAACCATCAATGCATGGTCTTCATACTATGGTTTTGGCATACAACATACCTATTCCAGTGATCATATAACTACCTTTTCATTGATGTATGGGAAAACATATAGTCAGCAAATAACCATTCATTGTCTTCCATGTGGGCAGCGTTTGTCTGAGTTGACCCATGTAGTAGAAAGTAACAAGAGAGGGCTAACTTGAAAATCTAAATCTGCAAGTTTCATTTATAAAGTTGATAGTATGTTGAGCTCTGGAAATGTAGCTGCTTAAATAAACAAATTATTCCTTTACCATAGAAAGTGGCCAGCACTTGTAATATGATTGAAAATGCACTAGCCCAGGAGTCTGGGGACTGAATTCAAATCCTAACACTGACTCAATCACACTGGGAATCAGCGTGATTGGAGATGGACATCATCTTTAAGATTCTTTCCAATTTTAAAATCCACGTTTCTGTATCAACGTGGTTGAAGTAGTTTTCCGAAAACTCCCCTTTTCACTGAATTCTTTGGAACTTCAATTTCTTCATCTATAAAGTAGAAATAATAGCCCTATCTTAAGTAATAACTTCTCTCTTAAAAGGGAACAAGACTCAAATCAGATAATGTATAAAAAATTACTTCACAATTTGACATGTGAAATGATTTTAATATTATAATCCTTAATGATTTTAAAAGGAACATTTTAGAATGTCCTTCATTCTATTTTAACCCATGACTTGATTACCTAAAGTTAACTTGAAAAATTCTGCATCACTATGAAAAACTTTTCCATCAATCCAGATAAACCTCAAAATACAAAGTCTAAAACTTCAGTACTTTAAACCTACCTGTACCAGTGAAATATACATTCTATATATTAATTTACCATGTATCAGTATTTAATCATGTGTAACTTAAGCCCATTGTAGAAACATATAATGGCTATGAAGACTGTATAATCAACTCTTCATTTTACATATTTATAGGAATATAAAATATATGGCTAATACACTAATACAACCTGAGCTATAGTAGTTTCCTTTATGGATACCTTAAAGCTCACAAGGATACCACAGTGACAACATACACACACATGTACAATCATAAACTCACTCACTCAATGCCTTTAATGAGCCTACAGCTTGTATGGATTAGCATATGATTGACAGATGGGAGAAAGTTAAAAGACAAGAATGGACCGCTGCCATTAACTCTTAAGCAAGTGATCTGGTCATGCAAAACCAAGTAGAAAAACCATACTGGTAACTGTTTAAAGATGATGACACTCATTAGAAAAACAACATACCCATCATAAGAGGTAGTTATGCCAGCAACTGGAGAATTATCACAGGTCATCAGAAAGGTTAAAAAATAGAGAAGGTACTCAATCATGGAGAGCCAACAACCTATGTGGGCAGCTTGTTTTACAGTAATCTTAAATTTCTTCATAATTAAGCCACCAGCTATGTATCCAAAGCATATTGGAGGTAAGTTATAAATACCTGTAAATGCAAGCAAAATATGAATTACAACATAACAGCAAAGGAACAATCATTTTTATCACTTTTGTCTGTCCTACATAAGACACTCTTTAGGTCCAATTACAGCGATTTTAACCCCCACTTAGTTACACATTTCATACAGGGAGATTTTTGAAATACCCCTCAATGTTGAAGTGTTTTTAAAATTCTTGTTATAATCATCCATTTAATTAATTTCAGTAGGGTGGAAATTTCTTGCAGACAGGGGTCATAATCAATATCTCTTTTCTTAGCATGCAGGGAGGAATAGCAAACCAAAGTTCACCATAATTTATTAGTTTATTATTCTCTACTCTGTGGAATGGGAACATATATAAGCAAACATATATATGATATTTAGTTATTAATTCCCAGTCCAGCTATTAAGAATTTGACATAGCTCTAGGTATTTTGGAGGTCACTTTACTGAGTCTGTAGCTGTCTGGTATAGTTACATTTCACCTCTTTCTGCTTCTGACCATCTATTCCTCTCCAGCTCTCCCTCAAAAAAAGGAAATAAAAAGTGAAAGACAGTCCTGGGTTGTATTTGCACAAAGTCAGCATCTGGCTCACTGAATCATAACTTTGGGAGAGTTTGTTAAAAATTCATTAACAAACCCCACTCTACTCTGTCTGATTTAGTTTGTCTTAGTGGGGGTAGATATTTAAATACCTTTCATAACACTCTAAGTAACTTGGATGCAGATAGCCTAGAATAGTCATTTTCCAAATGAACAAAAAAATCCCAGGGAAAAGGAAGGTTTAGAATCACTGGGGTTAGTATAACAACAGGAAAAGTATGATGTTTGTGGTTGCAGAGACACCTAAAACCACCAGGGGGACCAGGGAGCTAAACTAGGAGGAATATGGGATTCAGGAAATGAAGTATATGAGTAAAACACAGAACCCTCATGAGTTAACTGTGCATTCCACTTTAATGGATTGCCTATCTCAAAATGGACTAATATTTGAATCCCCCAAGATTCCCATAAATATTATGCACTTGCATTCTGACTAGAGAGAGAGAGAGAGAGAGAGAGAAGAGAATTTTGAAAGGAAGTATCAGGCCATTTCCCTTCCATACCTTTTCCAGATTCCCTGAAGAGTAGAAAGAGAAAATTTACCAGAGACAGAATTACCCTACATGATTTCAATCTAGGAGTCTCCTAGCTTCCCCAGGAGATTTCATGAGGGGAGGAGTGTGCTGCTGAAGCAAAGAGAAACAAGCATACCGATGAGAAAGATGGCGTCCGAGGTTGATTTACCATACTGCTGTTCCAGAAACTTAGGCATGAAGGAAAACATATTGGCAAATGCATTGAACTGTAGCACACTGATAAGTATGAAAAGCATGTAAATTGGATTACAGGACAGACTTTTCATGAATGGTAAAAAATCTGAAATGAAAGAAAAACAACAGTGTCTAACTTGGCTTTGCATTTTGTAACTGTTTGATGTTTTTCTTAAACATCACCATTCTCTCAAATTATGTTTTGTAATGCACATACATTTATTAATTCTTTTTACTTCTAGGAAGCTAACGTTATATATCCTGTAACAAAGATGAAGACTTCTGGAAGTCAGTAATGCCAGTGACTGAGTGAGACTAGAACACAAGAGTTATGCCTTCCCTAAGTCACTATTGGACATTGTATCTTAAAGCAAAATCCTCAAGAGACCAAAATAGTGTCTGTGTCTGCACTGTTTTTTATTTTTCCATCTTTTATTCAATCCTTTCTTCAGTAAAGATTATCTAGAATGGAAGATGCTTGTTCTGTTGTCTAAAGTTTGGAAGGAAGTCTCTTTGATGAACTCTGCACTCAAATAGCGATATTACCCATGCTCAAACATTTGAAATGAAAATGCACAGAGGGATGAATGGGATTAAAAACTTGCTCAAGTACCAGGATTTTGTTCTGCTTCTTCAGAACAACAATTTCAAGTTCTACCAATAGCTGAGCCACCTGAAGATATTTTTTAAAATACCAACATGCAGGTTTCACTCCAAGACATGCTGGTTCATTTGTAAGTAGTAAGGACCATGTAAATGATATAAACACAACTTTTCCCTGTTTAAAATAGTTCAGAGTCAAATCTGTGGGCTGTATCTAGTAAGTGGGTTGAGTCACATTCTGATTATTTTGGCTCAAATTCTCACTCGTAATTTCTTTTGACTTTTCCTATCTTTCTGTTCTCTGTCTTGATTTCTTTGTTTTGTAGTATCCCGGTTTACTCAATAAACTAGCTAAAATTCACTTTAGAATAAAGTATAACAAATAAGCCATTTAGAAGAGTTGAGAAAGCACAGCTTCACGGAAAAAAATGAATTCTACTTGTATCATTCATATTTATGAAAGAGGCACTTTGCTGAGGAGAGAGATAGGGACAGAATTCTTGGAGCTGTTTAAATGTAAATATCCTTGTCCTTGTAGATGAGTCTCAACAGTTTATATTTATTTTCTATGTGTCTTACACTATGCTAAGCTCTTTCCTAGTTATGAAAATTGAATTGACCACAAACAATGCTCTATGTTAACATCCTCTATCAGTCCCTTAAGAACAATTGTTAATGTAATCGTTCTGAGAATTTCCAAGACTCTGAATTGGCTCCTAATGATCCCAGAACTATTAAGGTCCATTCCATTATGTTTTAAGTAGATTTGCAATTGTTAATAAAAATTCTGTGTACATTGTGATGGTAGAAATAGCAACATCAACAATAAAAATACTAATAATAGTAATTCCTTTTACCTTCACACAGAACCCCTATAACAAAAAGTACTGTTATTATCCTCATTTTACAGACAAGGAAACAACCCCTTATATCCCCCAAAGGATTCCTCTGCCAGAATTCAAATGCTCAGGCCATACCCATATCAATTAATGCCGAACTCTAGAGAACACTACTGAACTTCCAGGAAAGTTTAAAAATTTCCCAAGTGATTCCAATGTATATAAAGTTTGAGAATCAGTGTTCTTAAATACGAACTACTTAGGCTATCTTGGCTTACTTTCCCACTGAAAAATCTTGTCAATTGAACTTTTATTGGAGATCTATGCAGAAAAAAGCAAAACCAAGAAACTGAATCAAAAGTGGCCCTGCCTTTATGGGAAACCACTGTGTGGTTTAATATTACCTATATCAAACCTTATAAAATGGTAATTTTTCTATTTTTTAAAATAATTTTTACTCAAGGAACAACTTCTCTTTAAAAATTTTTGTGCATCCCTCTTCAAGTATCACCTATGGTGTTTTCTTTTACTGCCTTAACTTCCAGGAAGCTCACAGCTAAACTAAAATTTTAGTCACAGAACTATACTATCTATTACAATTAGTACACATTCTTTCCGACTATTGTTCTTACTTTGAATATCAGTTCACTCATTTTTAAAAATGAAACTTATTTTCTCTGTAAAATATATTTTTCAAAGCAAATGGGACAAATGTATTTGCTTATTGAATGTCCAGATTGACTTAAAATTTCACATAAAGACCAATCTAAGATAATCCAGCTTCTAAACTGTATCATTTCTCTCCAAGGGATAACACAGGAAAAAATCAGACTAGTTAGGTGCTCTTTACTGGTGACAAATAGCACAGTATATCTTTTTGAACCAAAATACAGACACATTTATGTAAAGTAGAGTATTTGAAGTCTTATTATTTGCCTTTAGTGATTCCACGTTTTTCCTTCTTGACCTCTTCTCCTAGTTTCTCTTTGTCACTTTTAATGACATCAGCATTATCCTCTAGTCCTTCCTTTGGAAGCGTTTTGGGCAAAAAGAAAAAAGGAATGGCAGTGAGGACATTCACTCCTGCACAGATCAAAAAGCCAAACCACCATGCACCAACCCAGCGAGTATCAGTGGGAGTTATGGTCAGATCGTCTGTAAAGAGATATACATGCTTTCATTAGCTCATGCTAGCATTTCCTGTATTGATGATAGAAAATTATTACAGTTATAATTCTACAGTTTCATCTGAGTACAAAATTTGTATATAATTTAGACATTTGTAAACCTTGTAAGAGGTTGATTAATAGGCACCAAGTTAAAGTTAAATAAGACCAAGTAGGTTAACTGTAAATAATAATTACAGTTTTGAGCTACATTTTGAAAAGTTAGAAGAAATTTGACAGCTTCTATCATAAAAATATTATGTTTGTGGAAACAAATGTTTAACCTGATGCAAACGTGATACAATGCATCACGTATCAGAATATCACATGGAACCCAATTAATATGTACACTTTTATGCTTTTATATATTAGTTTAAAGCAAGTTAAAATTTATCTGACATAATTGTGGTGACACGATATTGTATGGTTATCAATTATGTAAAGAATTTATAAATAGATATATACTAAATAACTGAAAGGTCTGTTTTATCATCCAAAAATGGTTCCTTGATTAAAGGAAGGAAATTTATGTGACTAAATCTTTTGAAATGAAAATTAAGACTGAGCTGTAGTAGAAAGATCAATAAACTTTGAGTAGAAGACAGCATTTTATCTTGCCATATGTGTTTCCACCTCGGCTTGCTCATCTGTAAAGTGGAGATCACCCACCTAACAGAGTGTGAAATAAGGCAGAGGTGATATGCAGTAGCATACCTGAGAGGCTTTACGTACTCTCGACTCTGTTACATACATTTTATTGCATTACCTGTGTTTACAGATCCAGTGTCTACATAAATGTTTGCACAGAATGATGCTAACAAAAGTCCAATCAGAGGACCAATGATAGCTCCTGTTTCTATAAACCCTGAAAGCAAACAAAGACATAAAGTTATAGTATAGCTGTATACCCAATAAAGACTTTGGTTTCACGAAAAGCCTTAATATTGAATTGTTTTTAACCTTCAAATTTCTCTCTTTTTTTTTAATTTTCATACAGTGCTGGGGGACTAAATCCAGGCCCTTGTGCATGCTTGGTAAGCACTCTACCACTGTGCCACACCCCCAATTACCTTAGGTGTTTTTGACTTAAATAGTCAACTGATAAGGAAATGAAGCTATATGTGCCTACTTGTTTCTGTAAATGTTGAGAAAGAAGCTGTTATAGTCTTCGTTTGGAATGTCCCCTAAATGCCCACTTATTCGAGGCTTATTCCTCAGTTTGACACTATTGTGTGGTGGTGGAACCGTTAATGTGGGGCCTAGCGGGAGGTCTTCAGGTGTCCTTGAAGGGGATGGGGAATCCTCAGCCTCTTCATCTTTCTCTCTTTTGTTTACTGGTCATGGAGTGACCATGGTTTTACTTCTTTAGCACCTGCCCAAAAGCAGTGAGGCCCAATTGATCATAGACATAGACTGCTAAAACTACGAGCAGAAATGAACTTTTTCTTTTGATAAACTCATTTGCTCATGTATTTATGAACGCAATGGAAAGTTGACTAACAAAGAGGTCTCGCAACTTAAAGCTACTTTCTCTGGGCATCCAAATTCTCTTTTATACTGAGTCACAAGTAAGGATTTACTGTAGCAACACAGGCAATTCCAGCAGTGATGTAGAGCAGGATCCTGTTAACGCTTTCCACAGCCATGTCTTTCAAAGAACTCAAAAGCAGTACTGTGTTATGATGAATTTCTTATAACAAATCCTCAGAAAAGCTCTAGTGTAAATCTTCAACTTGGAACTTCCTTTTATGGAAAGATTATGTCCTCAGTAGTTCTCACTGATTTTTATCACAATCACCTGTCTTTCCTTCCACATTCTTTTTTTTTTTTAACTTTATTTTTAACGCTACTTGTATTTGAACTCAGGACCTTGTGCTTGCTATGTAAGCACTCTAGCACTTGATCCACATCCGTAGCCCGTTTGCTATTGATTATTTTTGAGATAAGTTCTTACTTTTTGCTGGGGCCAGCCTCAATCCTTCTAGTTATGCCTCCCACATAGCTGGGATGATTGTCATGAACTATCACACCCAGCCCTGCCCTCCATATTCCATTTTCATCAGTCGCTTCTATACTCACTTGGCTTCTTAATCATCTGAACTTCATTCTCAGTTAACTCATGATTTATCTACAGTTCAGGATCTGTGCTGAGCCTTTTCTGCTCATGGAAAACCCATACATGAGCTTCATCAACGTTCTTCCTCTTCACTGCAATGTTTTTCTCTGCCTTTGGTCTCCAATTTTTAACAATTCCATGGACTTGTCTACCATATTCACACCTGAGCTTTTTATGCCAACCCGGTCTGTCTTCTCTGAGATCTTGTGCTACCCAACACTCCCTATCTTGCGTTTACTCGATCTCCCCCTTTCAATGGATTTTACAATATTTCAAGTCCTCTCTGCTTTCTTTCCTTTCCCTACACACACTCTTACTTCCTCACTCCTCAATCACTTTGCTCAAATCCTTTCTCAGCCTACTCAAAATACTCTCAAGTAGCAAAATTTATCTCTTTGTCACTAATCTGGTGTCACCTTTTGGTCTTTGTTGTTTGTCATGGCCAGCTCCTCTTCTGTCACAAAACTGCACATTTATTGTTTCATTTCCCCTATGTCTACTCCTTCTTTAATTTTTCTTCCTCCTACTCTGCCCCACCAAGCAAAATATCCTCCAGTATTTTATCATAAGACCTCTCTCTCTCTTTCTCTTTATATATATATAAAGTCTCTCTCTTTATATATATATATAGTCTCCCATGGTGACCTCATTTCTGTCTCTTGATTTCATTTACAAGTCTCTGAATAGATAATTTTCAAACTTTGTGTCTAACTTTTAGGTTCTCTCCTAAACTCCATGACCATGTATGGAACTATTTTCTTAATGTATAGCTATTTGATTTACAGTTGTTTCATTATATGTGTACATATGCATATATTTAATTATATAGTTTTAATTATATATTATAAAATTATATTTACTTAATCATATAGTTAATTATTCATGAGTTATTCATTCATGTATCTTATTGATTTTAATACATAGAAAAATTATCACAGCTACTTTTATATAATATGCACCTTAGCAGGTTTTGAATACTTATTATAACAATGTGTTTGTTCATTTACTGTAGGAGAGTGCTTGCATTCTCTCAATATAAGTATGTGAAGGGATTTCAAAGGCTTAAATAGAAAAACAAGAAGAAAAGATTATTGAAAAACTAGTGAGTCTTCAAAAAGGCCAAAAGTTACTTGAGATAATTATTTAAGTTTTTTTTAAAATGTTAATCCATCTTGATTATGTTTAAATCTGTGCTAGCTTCTCTCAACCTCATTGAGCATTCTGCTGTTTAAAAGATATGTCAACATAAATGGAAAAATATTCCAATACTCCAAGATATGATTTTATGACCAACTATAGATGAAATGTAATCAAGTAATTCATAACAAATTAAGACTATTTAGGAGATTGGAGACAACAGAAGAAGGTAGATCCTACATTGACCCTCATCCCAGGCGATGCATGCATTTTGAAAAGGTAATTTCAAGAACTATTACCTATACATTGAAGCCAAATACTTAAGAAACTAAATAGATAAACAGGGTACAGAGCCACAATTAAGAACAGAGGTCATATTTAACAAATAAGAAGTAATGAACGTGGTAGAGAAGACATGCCTGAAACAATGTTTGAGAAAGATTATATTGCAAGAATGTTTACAAGAAACTTATCAAAGAAAATACTAAAGATAAAGCAACCAATAAAGAAGTTGAAGTAACTTATAGATGAAGTAGTGAGAACCTGAATAAAAACAGAATAAGCAAAGATTTGAGAAAGGCTTTGAATCTAAGGAGCATTATAGAGAAAACAACAGTAAATTTCTTGGTAGATTGGATATAATGTGACATCAAGGGAAAAGAAATTTCAGAAGATTCCAGGAGCAGTAGATGAATGGTATTTCCGACAGCAAAAATCAGATTTTGCTTATTTGGAACATATAATTTGTTTATACAACAAATAATGGCCAACAGAGAGCCAAGGCTCTCTATCATTCTGGAACTCACTGAGCTGAATAAATAATTAATTTCTACCTTCAGAGAACTTACTATCCTGCAAAAGAATAAAGCAGACTTTCAAACTTACCAATATATAAAGGAGAACTTTCAGATTTGGCAAAATCTTCTATATAGGAAATACCCAAAGGCATGATGGGAGTTTCACCCATTCCACGTATAATGTTCCCTATCAGTACATATACCCACATTAATGATTTAACTTCTTTTACACACTCTGCATTAAAACAACAAAAAATAAATTGCATTAGTGCTTTGATAGTGAAGTATTTGTGACACTTCATTCAATGTTTTCTGAAAGCATTTCACAGTCTATTATACATCCCTAGCAATAATTGGTATTATCAACAAAGAGTCAGTGGGTCAGTTCTATTGCATTCTTTTAGTGGTATTAGGGCTTTGTAATTGCTAGGCAGGCACCCTACCACTGAGACTGCACCTCCAGCCCAGCCCTCTTGCATTTTTTGAGACTGTGATTTAGGTAAGGACAAGTGCAAGTGGCATCCTCTAGACAGTTCCCATTGGGTTGCGAGACTTGCCTACGCATTCAATGTTTAGAGAGAACACAAAGGTGGAGTATTCACACCATAAAAATTGGCAAATGCTAAAACTCAAGGCTTCTCTCCTCCCTTGCACTCACCTAGAGACTCAGTTTACCACCAACTACCCTACCCAGCTGACTGCTAATGAGTGCTACCTTATTCCTATACAGCTTTGGGGAGAGAAAGAGCAAACACACAACCAAATATCTCTGTGTATAATACATACTTTATTTCTATGATGTAAACATGAGTTTTACTGAAGTTTGAATTATCCATTGCTTTGATTAATTTATAGAAACTAAAAATATTTAATTGGACAGTAATCATATTTTTTCCACAGAGCCTATTGTATACTGTCACCACCAAGTAACTTTTAATAAATTTATCCTAATCCTTGGAGCAGTGGTTTCTAGTAGAATAATGAAGACTAGGACAAAGAGAATTGAAAGGGAAAAAAGGGAAATCTTTGGAGATTTATATCTCTTTGCCATATTTATTCTTTGACAAAATAGCTATCAAGCCCTGAGGAAACTCCATGGTGTCACATTTACAGGGAAGTGAAGGACAAAGTCCTTGAGCTTTCTATAAACTGGCCATCTGCTGTCCACACATTTGAGGGTCCTGAGCACAGCTAGCTCCAGGAATTTCTAAGGTGGTCTATCTCTCCATCATTCCCAATCTAAAAATTCACAGACTCCCTTTCAAATTATTCAGATTTTTTTCTACAGTGAGCATAATGATTTGTGTCTAGAGATCATAGGCAAATTCTAGGCCTATTCTCTGGCACAATTGAAAAAATCAGGTAATGGCTGGGAACAGTGATACATGCCGGTAATCCCAACTATTCCAGAGGTGGTTATCAGGAGGATCATGGTTGAAGGCAAAAAGTTAATGAGACCTCCACGTCAACCAATGGCTGAGCACAGTGACACATGTCTGTCACCCCATGTATGCTGGGAAGACACATAGAAGGACTGCAGTCCAGGCCAGCCTGAGCATAATGCAAGACCCTATTTGAACCAAAAGGCCAGGTATGGGGTGCACACCTGTTATCCTAGATACAAGGGATTCTACTTGAAAAATAACTAAAGCAAAAATGGACTAGGAGCATTGACCAAGTAGTAAAGCATCTGCCTAGCAAGCACAAGGACATGAGCTCAAACCCCAGTACTACAAAGGAAAATATTATCAAGTTATGGAAGAATCTGCAAGCTTTCTTGGGGCTGTACTGGTGGGAAGATTTAACGCATGCACTGCAACGCGACTAGTGTGTGGGTAAGTCTTTTGCAGAAGTTGGAGAAGTGAACACAGGGCACTGTTCACACTATTAATGTCATTTTTCCCTTCATTTTCCTGGGGACAATTCTTTGGCTTAGGGCTCTGAGACAGCTATTCTTTAACTTTCAAACTATTTTAGCTCTCACTGACTCCATGGTGGCAGTAAAGTTTCCAGCCTTGGGGACTACTGCAACTTCTGCTGACATGAAATGTCCCACCATGAAAACATTCCCACCACTATAAGAGACGTTCTGACCTGAAGTAAGCTAACTGCAGACCAAGTGTCACCCAGGGGATGCTTCGACTCCCTTAGCATATGGTGGAGCAGAGGCTAGCACCTTGGTGCCTGGGACTGGAAGGTAAGGTCTCTGATGCAGAGTAAAAGTGGGCAGAAAGACAAATGCCTCACACTACAAAGGGAATAGAGGGATTGCACACCATAGCACACCTGCCTGCTTTCCGTGCCAAACATCAATGGTATAATACAAACCTTTTGAACTTTGTTTCTATTTTTTATTTGCATAATCATATAGGCCACACACTACAAGCACAAATCCATCTTTCTGAGACATTTTTCTCTTTGTTTCTATCTGTTTCTTATTTGCTTCATCATTCAGGCCAAACCATGAACATAAATCCATTTTAAGTCACTTAAATCATTTTCCTCAGTGGGATTAACTCTACAATGGTACTGGGATACATATCTTTAACTCATTTTTAAATAAGTAAGAAAGTCTTAAAAAATAAGCAAGAAATAGGCAAGGAAGTCTTAAAAATACATTAAAATACAACAGGAGTAACATTTTACATTATTTTGAATTTCTACTTCTCATCTGTGATCCCTCCAAAGTCCCTAAAGAGGGAAATTTTCTGTTGTTCATTTGTCTTGAACACTTAAATGAAACCAATATCTCATTCAAAGCCCTTTGACAGAGAGTTTTCAGTGACAAATTCACTGAACAGATGTTAATAAAATGAAGAAGACAACCTGATGGATCTTGCGTTGGCCTTAAAGTCTGGGTTCCATTTTCCATGCACAAGAAGCTGTTTGAGGACAAGTTGCTTGAAACTGAAACTGTAGATTCATATTCATATCTGTATGAACACAGGGGAAACATTTACTTTAAGAAACTAATGGAGGAAAAGTGGAGATTTTGCTGATTATTGACTCCTGCTTCACTTAAACCACAACATTCAAATCCTGTAAAGAGGTCTTTCATCTTTGTCACTGTGATCACCATAAATTACTTTCATCAAAAGAACATGCTGCTTACTGAAAATGTGCAACTCCTTTACAGGTAGCTTTCTTTCAATTTCCTGCCTGTACAAGATATGCCTTTTAGATTATCTAACATCAACTTTCTGTAATTTTTAGTTGACCATTTCCTAGAAATAATTACTGTGGGATATGGAACAAGAACTAAGAGAAGTAAGAGTCTCAATAAAGTATAATTAAGAAGATAAAGACTTGGGGTGGAAGGAAGAAAACAACACAAACCAAGATTCTAACATTGGATTCCTGAGGCCCATTCACAAGAAGTATAACCCCCACTTTCTAAGAATCCAAACAATTATTTCTCCCTGTGTCCATTAATTCTCAGAGAAGAAAAATAATTTCCCACCTTAATGAGGGGTCTTAAGAGAATCTTAATCACTAGATAGTACAATGTACTGACCTTTCTATTCTCACAAGAACAAAGGAGTTAATAAACACTGGTCATTTAACTTGGGTAAATACCACAGGATCCACATGTCCTTTCTCTAAAAGTAAATTACATGCCACAAGAATAGAGGAAAATATGTCCAGCTAAACCTTTGTTTGTTAGAAATTATGCTGGACCTGTTTCTGTGTATTTATTAGATAAGAGAAAGCCAAAAGAAAATTTGTCCTTCTGAGTTCCACATGGGCTAAAGAATGTTATGCTTGGATTTGTCCAATAGTTCTAATTTGTATGTCATAGGACATAATAAAAAGAGTCAAAATATCTTCCCTGTAGAACAATTGCCTAGTCATGCCCACAGAGCCCAGCTGTGGACAAAGGCTTCTGTTTTCAATCTCATGATCTGTGACACAGGGCAGCCTCAAAGTAATAACCTCTTTGGCAGAGGGTGGGAAGAATGTAAATAATAGCTTAGTATTACTTGGTATTGTCCTCAAAAGAATAGGAATTAAAAAAACAAAAACAGTAGAAACTCTGCAACTCTACGTAGAAACTTCTAGTCCCTTCAAAACACCTGAGAAGATAAAATACCTTTTGTTCATTTAACTCAAATTTCAGTTACTCATTCAAGGTCCATTTACTCCTCAAATATCAACAAAATGGCAATAAACAGGTTTTTAAATGGGAAAAGGCAAAGGCCTAATTCCACAAACATAAAGAGATTAGGAGATTTGAGAATGAGAGAAAGTTCAATAAAATTTCCAAATGGGAAAGCAAGTATGTAAATGGTCACTGACTCAAAAGATGTAAGAAGCATAACCACAAATGCCCACAAAGGAGCCTAAAACACATGCTACCCATCTCTGGAAAGTGCCAGGGAAGATGCCACAGATGTGGGAGGCAGGATAAAACAAGAGAACAGTTGAAACATACTGGTTTAAAGTATGTGTGAAGGAGAGATAGGCCACCAGGGACATCCATGGACACTCTAACTGAAAAAATCCACTGACTCTAGACAGTCTGAACAGGCACATTGAGAACAGGCAGGACATACTACAGATTGGGAGTATCAAATTTTTAAAAATCTGTACACTAAAAAGTGAAAATTGCTTCTCACCTGGTTGGTAGCCATGCTTCCACCTCATAAGCAAAAGACAGGAGAATCCCTGGCCTAGGATAACTTAACAAATTCTGCATCTGAACTATACTCAGTCCCTGCCCAGTTTGCCCTATGAAGTCCTCCGTTAACCATGTCTGCACACATATACAGAATTTCCAGTTAGCTTGCTGCTGTTGTTATTCCTTACTCTTAAATATGAATAGATAACCAAGGACCAGATATATGAAGGATACCTGTAATAGTAAAGATAGAGACAAACAAACAAACAAACAAATATATAGTTGGAGGAATCAGAGACAGTAAAGTCAATTTTGATGGGAAAAAAGCATAGCAATTTTGAAAGAACATTATGTTCCTTAAAAAGAGATACTAAAGAACAAGAGTCCTTGAAAATTAAAAGTATGATGGTATTATTTAGAAACCCATTCAAAGGTTTGGGGGATAGAGTTAAATCTCACAGAAAGTAACAAGGAGAAAAAAAGACATGAAGTTAGAGAAAGAAGATAGGAAAAAAAGCATAAGCTTAATCCCGGATATTCAGTGTTCAAATAGCATAAGTTCTACAAAGAGAAAATAGAGGGTGACAGGAAGTGAGAGAGATTTTTATCAAAGCGAATAATACAAGCAACTTTTCCAGATGTCCAGACTGAAGGCACATCAGAAAAGGAAAAAGAGATTTATATCAGAACAATTATTATGAATTTCAGAGTCTAGAGCCTAAAAGAAAATTTCAAAAGCCCCCAGAGAAAAGGAAGTGGTAACAGGAATTAGAATGGAATATGATTCTGAACAATAATTACACTAAGAATGGGAAAAAAAGAAAACCTATGGAACCAAGTCTTCAAAAATCTCTATGGGAAATACTTTCTATCCAGAATTTTATCCCAGCCAAACTATCAAACAAGCATATAAGATGGTTTTCAGATGTATAAGGCATCAAATTTTATACTTGCATACTTTCTCAGAAAGCTATTAACTTATTTTTTCCACAGAAAGGAGTAAGAGTAAAAAGGAAAGCAGAAGACATGATACCCAGAGAATGAAAAACTGCATGCAAAAAAGAGCTACAGCAAATTCCCCAGGGAAATTTCAAGTAAACGGCAGCGTGGCAGGGCTCATGAGAATGCAGATGGAACAGACAGAACAGGTAATAGGGATAGGTGTCTCCAAGACACATATGAAACTCTCTGACCTGTATCAAGAAGATGTCCACTTTACCAAGGGCGGGGGAAGAATGAGTGAGAAATAGAAAGAAAGCTAGTAAAATGAAAAAACATGAAGAAATTGCTAAATTCAAGAAAAATCAAGCAATATAACAAAGGAAAGATAGCATGACTCAGTGGTGAAAAATATATTCATGGGCATACAGATGTAAAGAGCGAACATGATTGTGTAGTTGAAATTCAACATATATCACACAACATTAAAGTATTAAAAGTAAGAAGATATAGAGGCAAGTAGAACATAAGACTAAAAGAGATACCAGAAAAAACAGGAAAAAGGAGCAGGGACAACCTATATGATTTTATTTTTACAATTTTGTACATAAAGTGTTTATAAAATGAAAATAAAAGTGAACCTTTAGAACAGTCTGGCTCTTGGTGACCTACAGTTAAACACAACCTCGTTATAACTAGAAGTGTCTAAACAGTGCTGAGGAGGGAGTAAGCCAAAATTTTGACAGGTCCTGGGAATGCTTTCATCATATTCAACTTCATGAAAGAGGTGTCCCATATCCCTGTTTCACAAATTGACAAAATGTGACAATAAGTAGGAGTGAGTCTTCTGAACACACAAATCAACTGATGGAACAGAATCTGTTCCCATTTTAGTTCTCTGTGGTTTCAGAAAGCATCTGTCCTAAAGAGAAAATTCCAAGTCTTGTATCCTGCAGGTAAAATCTGAACCTAAAATATCATCAAAGACTAGAATACTTACCTGTTCATGAGGAAATGAGGTAGTGATATCAAGAAACATCCTAATCCCATAACCACACATCCGACACCAATCATTATAGGTCTATGCAGTTTAGTTCCAAAATAACTCACAAATATAATCAACAAAAGATTTCCTAGGGCAAAATGATAATTCTCATGTCAGTAAGTATTAACAAAATTTTAATTAACAGTCCCAGCCAGTCATTTATACTGTAACATTTATTCTGCAACAACCATGTCAAATACAGAGGTTGATGCTTGGAATGGTTTATGCATTTTTAATGCACAATACAATTAAAGGAATAAGACAAAGTCCCTGGCCTTCAGGCAGGCTGTTTCATTCTGGGGAATGTTAAAGGCTCTATTTGTGATTATCTAGTCTTGAAAAATGGGACACAATAGTAGTCAGTATATGACTTCTGGCCTCTCCTCCCATACCTTCTCCACAGAACACTGTAGTGTTTTCCTACTTTCAAAACAAAAAGCAAAAGTCAGGTTTAAATAGATGCATGTTTTAGGACTCGCTATTCAAAAACACATTTACTGTTCAACATGACCAATCCAGGTATCAGTGTTTCCGTTTTTTTCCCATAGATCAGATTGTGCAGTTAAGAAAAATTCTAGACTCCCTCTTCTCCAACTGGGTGTTAAGTAAGTCTGGATTCTAGGATAAAAATGTCTATGAAAAATTCATCCTTATGACTTAAGATGAAGAAATGAAGTAGAAAGACCTATTCTGTTGGATAGGCCTCGATCAGCATGGAGGTAAGAGCTGAAAGAAACAAATATGTAAGTTTTCAACAAAACACACACTTTTAATTAAAAGATATTTACTCTAATCCCACTATATATAAAGAAAATCTCTACAGTAAGCTCAAAGTTTGAACAATTTTCAAAAACTCTTTTCCTCAAGAGGCAAACAATTTTTGAAGTGGTGTTTAATATTTGGAAGACTTTTTTCAATCTGTTTTTCTATAGTCTGCCTTCAACGTTTAAGAGATGTCATAAGGGTGAGCTCCTGTTTCAAATTGCCTTGCTCTATTAGTAAACAATCACCCTGAAACCATGAGTAGAGAGAGGTAAAGAGTTGTCAAGAAGAAAGTTGCTTAAAAAATAACTGGGGACATGCAAGCCAGGTTATAATTGTATTGGCATCTGAAAATCATTTCAATTTCCCCTCACCTGCTATTTCAACTTTCTTTGTTCTCAAGTAACCTATAGGCACCCACTAGTGTTAGAAATAGTTTATGAATTCTTAACCTTCAAGTACAAACCTCCAAGGAGTTCATGGGAAGAAATGAGGGGAGTCCGTGGACTTGGGCGAGAAAGAAAAATTTCATCTTTATTTTCACTAATCTCTAAATCATGTAGCATTTTGGTTGATAGTTAAAACAATTCAATTACAATAAACTATAGTAGTATTAGCAGTAGTTATGATTTTATCACCAATAGAAGTACAGAGATTTATATATCACATTGTGATTGCAACAAATTCTCAAAATATTACTGATACTAATAATTACTTGAAAATTAGTGTTAAATCTTATTTAATGTGTTGAAAGGACCACAAATACTAATATATGACAAACCATTTTTTATATTTTTGATAATTCTATTTCAATATAACTGGCTTTCTTTTTATACATTTAATTTTTGTTTTCTGCAATTAAAATATTACTTTGTAATCATATGGCATCAGATTGCCAAAGGGGTGCTTAGCAACCCTTCCAATCCTTAGGAACTTTCTCTCACTCAGTTGATAAGTGATAGACTCGATGGCAAGCCCACAAGTCTCTCCCCACCTCTCATCCCTCTCCTCTTTTCTAGCCTTATATCCCAACAATTTCCCCCTCAAGCATGGCCAGTCAATAACACCGTGCTCACACACAAGTCACTATGCTTCTTCAGCCTTATCCATTGGAATTCCCTTCACCTCTACCTAACTGCTTCTTTTTTGCCTGAAAACTTTTATTCATTCTGCAAGAGTACAGTTGTGTCCCATTTTCATTCATAATCTACAAACCACATTTACTGTATTTTGATCCGTTGGACTGTGAGTTGAGGATACGCAAAATTTATATTTGGAGTCAGTTCTAATTCTATGGCAGAACCTAGGACACAGGTGGGATACAAAGTAACATCAGAGGAACTTGGCCACTAGAAGCCAAGTAAGCATCTTTCACTTTTGCTTCTCCCCAAACCTGAATTTTCTTTTGATTTTGCTTAAACACATGAAAGTCAATTTTCACCCTGAAGGTAGTAGGAGATATTCTAAAACTAGAAAAGAATGACATGATATTTCTATGTACCTTGGTTTATGTAAGAAATCTTTCTCTCTTTAACTCTCCCTTTACCTCACACATTCCCAGTCTTCCCCAAAAGTCAGAACCTGAGAGTAAACTTTACTCTTCCTTAGAAGCTGTTTCTGAAATGAATTTAAAGAGACTAGAAAGCAGTTTATTCTTCTTCTGTATTTAGAAAGGACAATTGCTAACCTCCCAGACACAAAAGGAAAAGAAAAACAAATTACTTTGCTGTGCTACAATACCTTCTAGATACAAGGTCTGAGACCTTGGTTTCCCTTAGAGTTATCAAATGGTAGGTTTATGTAGAAATACTCTAAAGACTCTGATATTCATGCTGGATAACAAAGCAACTGTCAGGAAAAAAAAGGGACAATGGCAATATTTAGATGTTATCAATAGGCGATAGTCAAGTGAATTTTTTCTAAGCATATTCTGAGCTCAGCCAGGCTATTCAACCAAGTTTATAAAACATGCAACTCAGTCAGATTAAATGACCTAACAGTAAATGAGACTAAAATTCATACCAATTCCATAGATAAAAACAAAATATGAAAAGAAGTAATGCAAAAATAATTTATTACCAATTTCAAAGCTTCCATTAATAAATCCAACTAGAGATGTCGGGATATTGAATTGTCTCTCTATCTGTGTAAGCATAGAATTCATATAAGATCCAGATAATGTTTTGGATATATACGCCCATGTTAATGCTAACAGAAACATCTAGAAAGAAAAACATCAGAAAACATATGAAAGAATATATGAAAATACTTAAAACATTTTTAAAACATATATTTTCTATCTATTGATTGTTTCCAATAGATGCCACCCTTGAACTTGTAAGAAACTTTAAAATGTGGTCTATTGTTCTGGTCTTCATGGGATGCTTTCTCCCTGGAAACTAAAGTTGTACTAATTCATTAGAGGTATGAATTTCATAGGTAGTTACAGCCTCCCTTTTGTACAGACAAACAAGCAGTCATTGTAAGCAAAGCATAGCTATTGATTCAAATAGTCTTCAACACTACAATGCTCTCTGCATCACAGAGAGATGCTCTCTCTTTCATACACCCACCTTTATGAAAATAGGGGATGAAGAATGGCAGAAAGACTTTCTTTCTGTAGCAAGTCTGCCCATGTTATCTCTGCAAAAGGATAGGTCCCTTGATGACCTTGGCCAACCCAGCACTTGGTCTACTCTTCTTTGGAATTCTTAGGCAGATACACTATATTCTCAGTACTGGAGAACAATACTCAGTACTGTCTAGAACAATCTGCACTATGTCTTCATTCCTCCCAGAACAAGATGTTTTGTAATGTTTGGTGCTCATGGTATATAAATCAAGTCACAACACTTTCTGGTGTCCCTCCACTTTGGTACAAGAAGGCAGCCTATGCACAGGTGGGTCCCATCTGCTTTGGGTAGTTTTTCTGAGCCTTGGGAAATAAGCTCACCATGAGTCCTAGACTTCTGCTAATCCTTATTGCCTACCTGTGAGTAATTAATTCACTTTGCTTGATGTACTATGTGAGTTTTCTCTCTCATGGAACTCACACTCCAACAGCCGAGTTTACACCAAACCTTCTGCCAGATCTAGGAACTCTTATACTCTCTTTTCCAAAGTGGTATTAAATTTATACAATGTTAGACTGGTACCAGTCTAAATTAAATTACCTTTAATTTATTAAAGGCAATATTTTCATTATAAACTGTATTATAAATCTGTTTATAAATGGAACAGCTGCCTTCTATGATAAATAAATATGCATGCTACAAATTTCCATATAATTCCAGAAAGCAGTGAGGTTTCTACCTTTCATACAACATCAAGGATTACTATTAAAATGGAACCACTGTGATCAACATAGTCAGTATGGTTTTATTAAAAATGTAAAAAACAAATTCTGATAGGTCTGTGAAAGCAGGAAAAGGCAGCTTTTATTAAGGGATTTGAAAAACGTGGTACTGTGTACTGGATAGTAATAAAGTTAAGAATATTAATTTCCTACTTCAAAATCAGTAAAATATGGATAGATTTATGTTATTCTGAATACTGGTCTCCAGTAATATGCTGTAAGACTTTTTTCTTGACCTTAGGTAAAGATATTTCCTGATGACATTTCATCCTGGGAGATCTTATGATCAATGCTCTAGCTATCACACTGATATCCTCACCCCCACATCCTCAGTCTTGGTCTTGAGGTAACCTTACAATCAATTTGTCTTCTATGTCACACATTCCCTTCAAGATTATTCACAACTTTTTTTTCTCAGCCTCCAACCTACCCATTTGTTCTTCATGACCTATAAATATTTCAGCCACATCATGTGCAAACTTGCCTCTTTCTCTTCCAATTCTCCTCTATTTCTAGCACAAGTTTCCCTTCTCCTGTATGATAAAATCCCTTTAAACCATTCTCTTGGATCATTTTTCCCATATCTGAGATCCTACTCCATCAATCATTGTTCCCTGTCCTCCATTTTCAACCACACAATCCTTACTTCCTATCTCCCCTCTAACTTACTAACATGCTCAGCATTCTGCTTTTTGAAAAAAAATAACTTTCCTCATCCTGATGGTAGCTGTTTGGAAGAAAAATCCATATGCTTTGCCTATATTATTTAACTTTCCATTCACCCTCAGACTGCCAAAGTCTGGTGTCTTCTGAAGTTACTACATAAAGGGTCATAAACAGCTTACTGATTTTCACATCTGATTAATACTCTTCAGTCATTAGTTCACTTGTTGGCTCTATGTCATTTGGTACCATTAATCTCTCTTTTTTTCTGAAATTCCTGCTCTCACACATACCTATATCTCTTCCTACCTGCTAGATGTTTTCTACTTAATCTTCTCTTTGTCCAACCCTCTTAGGCTTTTGCTTTTTACTGTCTACTCTTTCCACTATGCACACTGTCCTTGGGAAATACACTTAAGTTCCCTTGGTTTAAATTGCTACTACATGCTAAAATATCTCAAATGTAGACCGCTTAGCTTAAACAGTTACCATCATATTTAGTCTCCTCTAGTCTTTTTCCACCTCCAGCTTCTCTTCCATGCATCACCATCACTAACATGAGCTTAGTTATTTGTCAAATGAATCTATAATATACATGGTTAGTACATGATTCCATTTCAGTGGAAATCAGTAATTGCAGTAAATGCAAATTCCTTCTTTTTTACTTGGCAAACAAAGCCTCATGTATATGCAGTGTCATCTGCTTCTTCTCTCTGAATCTAACATTCTATTTCCAGTTTCCTTAGTTTACCATACTACTTTATATCTCAGTGCCTGTAAAGTGACATTCCTCCATTTATAGTGCCTTTCTTCTTTTTGTGAATCTAGTGAATATATACTCAATTTTCAGGATTCAGTTTGTTTGTTATTTGCCTTCCTTGTTTCTATGCTCTCCAGGTAGCCTTGGCCATCCACTCCTTGTCTTCCCCCTCTACTGTGTGCCCACTCTATCACAGCTCCTATCACAGTACATTTAATTCATGTGTTTGAATGTCCAAAATTTCTTCCCTCATTATATTGTTATGAATTCAGACATAAGAGCCATATATCATATACTTTTGGGTCTGATAAATAGTAGGCAACCAATCTAAGCTTCCTGAATTAAAGACAGAATAGCTATCAAAAACTGAAGAAGTAAGCAGAGCTGAAAGTAAGATGAAATCTAATATGATAAATATACTTCTTCAACCATTTTTACTGCTATTACAAAATGCCATACACTGGGTGTCTTGTAAACAACAAAAATTTATTTTTCACAGTTCTGGAGGCTAGGAAGTCCAAGATCAAGGCACTAGCAAATTCTGTGTCTATTAAGGCCTCCATATTGGTTCAGGGGCAGCCATCTTTTAGCAGTGTCTGTACATGATGGATGGGGGAAAAGAGTCTCTCTGAGTCCTGTGTTATAAGGGCACTGATTCCATTTATTAGGGTTCCATCCCCATGACCTAATCACCTCTCACTACCACCATCACCTTGGAGATTAGGATTTCAGCATATGCATTAGGAGGCATCACAGACATTCAAATCATAGCATATACCTAAGTCAAATTCATCTGTACCAACTAGTTTGGGAAAATCAGGATAAATTATTATGTGAAAAAGACTTAGCAAATTTGAGCATTGTGCTTAATATAACTTAGAACAAGTATATGGCTGGAAGATGGTGTACCTATGCCTCCAGTGATTTATCTTTGAGTATTAAATACTGTTTGTAGAAATTCTCTCTCTTCCCACTGTAAACTTTTTCAGAACCTTTTATTGAGACTATAAAACATGGTTTTGTAGTTCAGGTTTTGTAATAAAAAGCAAGGTCTATCAAATCAAGTAGAAATCAGCTTTGGGGAAATAATGTATAATACTTATGCTTTTGAGAAGGAATCTAGATGGGTCATAACACCAATGTTCTTTCCCTAAAACACCTAGATGGTTTCCATAAATGTATTGGTTCTTTACAGATAGTGAAAGAAACCAGTGGCTGGGCTGATTCATGTCTATTGCTAAATAAGCTCTTATTTATAAAGCTACTCCTGCTCTGGAACTTGAAGCAAATTTGTTAGGAACAGTCCTTTGATGTTCCCTGAAGAATTTTGCTTAATGAATATATTTCTAAATTTGGAAATGCAAAGAAACCTGATTGAATATAAAACACTTTCCTCTCACTTTTGCCTGTTGGTTGCAATACTTTGCTGTAACATTTACATCAATATCTAATCTTGCCAAACTCCAAAGTAAGCAAAAATATAAGACCCATTGTTTATAAGTAATGTGTGATGACTTGTCACCAGAATGGCTATTTATAATTGCAACTAACTAGAATTTTTAAAAGTCCTGTAAGGTGGGTCTATATTTCATTGCCCTTTTGGGATGAGAAAACTGAAGCACAAACAGGTTCAGTAACTTGTCCAACATCACACAGCAAGTAAAACATCTGAACTCAGATAAGAACCCAAAGAGCTTGGGATCAGAGTCAGTTTTAACCACTAAATTACAAAAGAAGATGAGAACTGGGGGATGATTTAAGAGAAAAATGTTTAATTGTCATGGCATTTCAGGCAAACATAGCTTTCTAAATCTATATCATAAATCTCACTTTTGTGTATATATACATCTATATTCACAGAAGTGAGTATCTATATATCTTTCCTAAACACACATAAAGAGAAAAAAACCTTTTGATGGGAAGAAAATGGGTGACCATGTCTTAGACTAGAAGTTTAGTTTGAGGGACTAGCTGTAGAATTGAGACCAATGCTCAAAACCCTTGGTTTAAAATAAATTCAAATTTTGTGAATGTAAAATCCCCTTTATAGCTGTGGAAAAAAGAGTTTGCTCTGAAACAGTCAAAGCTACCAGAGCAGCTAACAAACCAGTCATTTTTCTTATACAGAATAATTGTTATGTTGCCAAAGCTTGAAAAAAATATTTGTTTTACTAGGTCATTGTGAAGTAATCTTGGTATACTGATCAACAAAGCATTTCTGTCCACTGAACTATGTTCTAGGAGTAATTCCCACACTTCTCTGGGTTAGAAGATCCTGAAGGGTTGGCATTATATTGCCCTCTGATCCTAGAAAATAAACCCTACCACAATATAATATATGCCTGAAAATTGTTTCAAATCCTGTTTTCTTTTTAGCTCCTCAAGCCATTTCTGATTAAATTGTCTGAATCAATAATCCTATTTAAACATACCCTTGATTATAGAACCAACTTCTTTGAATCAAGAAATTATCAATAGATCAGGTAGTATGACATCAATATTAGATCACTTCATGAGCAACTTTACAAGGTTTGTCTACATTAAAAACAATACTACATAGTACGCACACCAAAATGACCATACCTTCACCTTGGAAAGACATCTTATCCTATGGGTTTCCATCCTTTTCTCCGTTTCTCCCATGTTGCTCTTCTGATTGTTCCAAGATATTTATGTTTGAAATCTTGGTATGTCTTAGTCTTAACCTTTTTAAGAAAACAAATGCCTGTTAAATTACTGACAAAATTGTAAGCTAACTTTTTTTGTTTTGAAAAAAAGCACTAGATCTGAACACACAATTGGAATCTACCATATTGTGAAAATACCTAGGACGTTTTGATTCTGATCTTGAAAATAGTGATGTTTGAGAAGATTTAGTTGTTGGATTTCTATTGCAAAAGTTACTTCAAATCATTATAGTCATTCTTATAATTTGTTATGGTCTGCTTGTAAACCATATGACTACATGGTTAAAATAAAGCTTTCATTTCTTTTGCCAAAACAAACAGAACCAAAAGTGATCTCTTTGAACTTACACGAAAATTGCTGCTCTTAAGAACACAAAGACTTGGTTTATGTTTGTGTTAAAAATCTGCCTCGGCAAGTCTACAAAGGCTATTTGGACAGCTTCCTCTGCAAGTTCTTTGCATTCCAAGACTTCCCTGTAGTCTCAAGAAGGGAAACACTTTCTGGGGCACTGTTGATTCACAGAAACCTGTGGAGACATGGAATTTCAGTAAGGAAATAGTCTAAGTAAAAATAACAAATAATTCTATGATCTGGGAAAGAATCCTACAATTCCAACTTAAAAGATGTAAGGTTTAGAAGACCAAATATAAAAAAATGGAGATCTATATGAGTATAAATATTATACATATGTAGGAGTCATATCTAGATGTATATGCACACTATATATACACATATGTGTCACATAGGCACAGAATTTTATATGTAATACAGAAATCTGATTTAAACTCTATTGAATTGTATGAGCCTCCTATCAAAGATTTTATCCATTTTTCATCTTAAAAGTAGGATAATATTTGCACTGAAACCAAAGTATTTTACTTTAAAAATATTTTTCCTAGCAAATTTATTTCAAGGTACAAGTATAATTTCTTAATAATAACCCCAACTTGAATTTATCAAAGTCCTCTGAACAATGTCCATTTAACAAATGGTCATAAATGGCCATAAATTTTAAAAATTTAACTGCTTTACATCCCAGATTTGCTGAATCTCAACACACACTGATGCAATTGCTTATGAACAATTGCGTGTGAACTTAGTTCTCTTTACTTCTTCTCTCACAAATACACATGTTTATGTGGACATCTGCTATGTGCCAGTCATTAAGCTTATCATGGAATTCAGCAACAAACAGGACAGGCAAACTCTCCTGTGGAGAATGTGATCTAGTTAGAGAAGCCTCAGTCTCTGGGAAAAGTTACATAGACCCAGATCCCTAAGGAACTTATACTTTTACTAGAAAAGTTAAAACTTTAAAAAAATTGATGTAGAATCAGACAGTATATAATGAAATACAACTCATTCAGCATGAAAGTTGTGAAAAAATTCATAGGTAACAAGAAAATTATAGAGACACTCTTTTCTTTAAATTAATAAAAATACTTTATTGAATTTCAGAAACTTGGTATTTTTTTTTTTAATTTCAAATCTTTGCACATGGATCACCACTCTACTTTGTCTAGAATCGCAGATGTTTGGCCTTCAAGATTGTCACTTTTCTCCTGTGTCACAAAGCATTGAAAATCCCAAATCTTGACACTCCCCTGCCCCTTTTGATCATGAGTACAGCTACTCTGTGACTCCAGCAGAGAAAAAGGAGATGGGGACACTCTTGGCAATTCTGATGGCCATACAAATGAAACCATGATGAAATCCTCCACCAAAATTTCAAATCACCTTAACAGCAGTGCAAATACACAACACTGTGTATTTGTGTGATACAACTGACACTGTGATACAATTGGTAATTTTCAACAAAGCAGAAACTCATAAGGTTTAATCATAAGCCAAATATAATTTAATCATAAACCTCTCGATGGTGCCTATCTCTTTCTGCTTTTGCATTTATAATCCAGCCCCCCTCCCACATCTTTTTTCTTTCTATCCCTCTTTGCCAATATCTGAGCTCTATATACTCACTCTACCAAACATTAAAAGAGTTGATTCCCCAGCCCCTTTTTAGTGGCAAAGATGGTAATTGTTCAAATGTCTGTTTTCATATTGTAGTCAAGGGAAACTTAAGTTAGTGCCAAGAAAAGTCACTACATATGAAGTTCTGTAGATCCTGACATTAATTATGACACTAAGTAACCATCTAGAGCAGGTTTTATGGCCATAGCTTAAAGATTTGTTTCAAAATGTCTGCTGTATTGAGGTAAGTTGTATGACCAATTATTTTGACTGTAGTATTTAAGCTTAAGCACTTGGAAAGAATTCAATGACAATAAATTAACCCTAAACTTTCTCTAAGTTATAAACTTAGAGAAAATAGTTTGTTGTTATAGATATGTTTTAAACATTTTCATAGAGGAAAATAAATAAATGAGTGAAATCTCTTCCATTTATTAAAACAAATCCATAAAATCTAATACTCAATGTCACATTCACTGTTAAGCACTTTGACCCTAAATCAGAAATGTGTATAGAGCAAGTGCCACCCATGTGAACATCCCCTTTTGTAATCACAGTATTGTTTATAGTGACTTCTGCTCCCAGGATCACACAGGTTAACCAACAAAATCCCCATCAATCATAACTGATAATGAAAACAACTAGGTGACATTTTATTAAATGGAGAATCATTTTATTTTTCCAGCTCCTCTTCATTCAAATGGGAATGGATAATAAATACAACAGTGTGCTTTCTCATGAAAATGTGACTGAGTTCTACTGAGCCTGCTGGTCACAACTCTTAGTTGTTTTGTTTTGTTTGTTTTGTTGTGTTTTAAAAAATCCTACATAAAATATACCCTCTTAACAAGTTTTAAGTACACAGTGCAGAATGTGTATATGCATTCATGTGACAGATCTCTAGAACTTTTTCTAACATTACTGGAGCTCTGTACCCACTATGCAGCAACACTAGGGGTTTTTGATACCCCTTTGTAACCAGTCCTTAATGACATGTCTGAATCACAAGAGAAAACAACTTTTTACAAAATGATTAGTCTCATTTATGCTCTACATTGACACAGTTTGTGATTATTATAAATGAGCTGGAAAATGCATGCATTTAATTTCATCTTGTTCTGTACTATTGGATTAATGAAAGAAAGGCTTTATCATGACAAAGCTGTAGTACATACATGAAGAAGACTTAGGAGTCGATCCTTTCCCTGGGGAAAAAGAGTCACACCAGCAAAAATCTTACAAAAATCACGTATTTCCAGAATTCAAATAGTGTCTAGCTCTGTGAAAAGAGAACAGCCTCTTGGGTGGTGTCCAGCTGAAACAATTTCAACCAATACCAAACCAGGCAAGTATGTGCCAAGGAAGTACATGTAGAATCAACAATGAATTGTTGTATGATGCCTAGCAAATTATTTCACTTCTGTCAGTTCATTTCAATCAGAAATTATAGGAAAAAAATAATGGATTGCACACACCAGCCTTACAAATGTAGGTATTATTTTATTTTCTACATTCAGAGGAGGTACAAAGAATATATCACTTTAAGAAAAACCCAATTGGGCATTAGAATATTATTCATTCATGTTATTTCACTGTGCAAAACAAAGTCTGAAACACAATCAAAATCGTTCATCAGCAACCAGCAGTAGAAATACTTATCCTGTTACTCTGGATATGCACTGTCTAATGCTAGATGAGAGACCAAGAAATGGAAAGACAGGTGAGACTGGAATTCTATCTTTAGAAGAACTGGTTGCGAATATCATCAATGTCATATCCTAATCAAACATTTCTAGAGGATGATTGAAATAATTATGGAAGAAAACAGATTTCTACACTTGAGATTTCAGAATACCCCCTTTGACCTAAGTTTAGTCAGGGTCCTCGAAGCCCTCCAGACCTGACCTTGGTGTCCTGCATTTTCCAGTTGAAGCAAGAATCTTGCTAATCTTGTTAAGAGAGAACGTGTCCTATTCTATACCAGATGGTCCCAATATTTAATGAAATTCTTCACCACCCCTAATCACCAGGTGGTGTCTGATAATGCTACCCTTCCTTCAGCAAGAATTCTGTCAAGTTACTTTAGCCAGAATCCCCACTACCCACTTTGATGTTTCCTCTTAGTAATTTTCTACCCTATCTCATCCACCCTTCTCCTTGAAAATAAATCCCCAACGGTCTGTGCTATATTCTGATTTGGTCCCCATCCCATACTGAAGGTTTTGGACTATTGCAATATTTCCTGAATAAAATTTGTTTTACCATGTCAATTAATGTCCATCTCTGGTTATTCTCTGAGAGCAACAAAGAGTGTTAAATTTCTTCAGCTCATTAGCTCAATTATTCCCTTCCTTTTGTCTGCACATAGTTTGGATACAAACCTATGTATCTCCATTTAATTTATAGCAAGCACATGTGAACTTCTTCTTCTTACAGAGAAAAGACGGTTTCTACAGCTCAAAAAAACCAGAAAATTCAATAAAGTGCTTAGATTGCCCCCCAATGTATGTATTTTTCATTCATATTAATGAGTGTAAAGAGGCAACTAGACCTGGTCAGAATGTCAGACATAGGAATTCAGTTAGCCTGGGTTTAATCCCAGATTAGTCATGAGTTGTTTATAAACTCTTTCATCCTGTCCTTATTTGTAATATTGGAATATTTATGTCAACCTTGCAAAATTGTTATGAAGATTGAGTCACATCAGGCCCCTAGCACGGCGCTGGAATAGAACAGTCACTCTGTCAATGGCAGTGATTATTATTCATTCATTCCACAAATATTTACTAAGTCTCTACTAAATTCCAAGCACAGTAGTGGGTACTAGGCAAAGATGAATAACATGTGCTTGCTCTTAAAAGGTCACAGAAGCTATTGGGAGAGATGGATAATTAAATGATGGTGATAGCTAGTTACTGCCATAATTCAGATAACTCGAGTATAGTAGAGAAAGAGGAGATTAATGAAAAGTGTCCACTGTATATTCATTTGAACTGTTATATGGATGCAGCATCATAGTTTAAGTACTTGGGCTTTG